GGGTTGGGGTGGGGGCGCGATTTTATGCCGGAGAGGATGAAATGATGGCAAGAAATGTGTGGGGGCGAGGTGAGGCGGAGATGGAGGAACACCTCCGCGCGGCTTGGAGCAGTCTCGGAGGCAGAGAAGCCCCGGGAAGAGCATCCCTGGGCTAGGGCCATAGGAACGCGCATTCCAGAGAGGCAAGGCTACCCTCCGGCAAACAGAAGTCCCCGCGCGCACTGTGAGGAAGCCAGGGGGAGGATAAGGAGATTCTGAGCACAGGACACAAGAATCCGGAGATGATTTTCAACTCATTGCTTCGTTTCTCTCCCAGATGCCGGGAGGAACAGCGAGCACTTGTTAATTTGGAGCTGCCTTGTCTGTGCAGGGCAAGGTGGGGAGGGAAGGTCCGGGCCTCAAGGAAAGGAAGACCTGTGGCTTTGATCCCTCCTTGCTGGTATACAGAGCTCACAGGGAGGGGTGCCAGGAGGGTCCGTGACCCTCGGGACCTCACCCAGCATCTTGACCAAAGCGTCCAGGGAAGATGGTTTTTTTACGCACACCCAGCTCCTCCCTGGTGCTGCGGAGCGCAAAAGATCAAGGGACCGAGGCATCTAGGAGTCCGCTAGGCATCTGCACCCCGGCACCGGCACCGGGGCATCTCTCTCTGCCTGGGCGCTCAGCCTGCGTGCGCTGCAGAGGCGAAGGGCTCACTGGTCTTGGACCTGGGCCCTCGCAGAGCTGAGAGAGAGGGGCTCCTGCCCGCGGGTGGAGCATCTTGAGCAGCAACTGGCTTGTAGCCCTGCAGTTTATCACCGGAAAGGAAGGAAGACCAGGAACTCAGGGCGGCCGTGAACTGTTCCATTGCTCTTTTCCTGGGGCGGAGGGATCCACCGCCCGCCTGGGGTGCGTGCCCTAAAGAATGGGAATGTGTGTGTTGGGGAGGAGGTGAGGGGAGCAGCGCTGCATTGTTCGCAGGGAGTTGGGGGTGGCGGTCCAGATAGAAAGGACTTGCTCGCTCTCCACCCACCCCTCAGGCCTGGCCCGGCCAGAGCGTCAGCCAATGACGGGCGCAGAGCGCGGTGAGAGGCAGGACAGGCAAAGCTCAGAGATGCCAAAAACCTGAAAGATGCTGTCATCGCCACCCCCCTTCCCCCACGCTGGTCCCTGGCAGGTCCGGCCTCTCCCAGGCTGACCCAGATACATCCCCGTTTGGGTCCGGAAAGGGAGGGGAGGGAAACAAGCACCGCGCCACCCACGACTCGGGAAGACCAGGGCTCTGCGCCAAGGGCCGCTCCATATCGCTGGACTGTGACCCAGGGGAAGTTTTGCTTGGTCTGTGCCATTTGCAGGGGAGGGTCTGAGAGGGCGCTTTCCCCATGTTCCTGCTCAGGATCTATGCGCATGCTGGGGAGGAGGGCAGTGTTGGCTCATGCACCTCTGTGCTTAATGCTCATAAGTCTCCTCGGATAAAGGAGAGGAAGAAGCTAAAAAGTACCTCCACCCTCTCCATTGTCCCACAATTTCTTGAGGTAAATCCAGACACTTGGGACATACTGTAGGGATGAATGGTTGGCGTTGAAAGAACCATCAACTGCCAAAATTTCTCTTCTACCAGTGAATAAAATAGAAGTGTGGATATGTATGTTGGGAAAGGTAGGCAGTTGTATACTTCTCTTATGGAGAATGAGAACTGAAACTACCTAAAAATCTCCAAAGTTCCACCCATCTCAGCACATTGTGTCCTTGCAGCTTAGGGGTGTTAGAAATACATGGAATGTGACCATCAACTTAGAGGCCCTTCCTCTCCGCCCAGGGAATTAGAGAGTGGCCAGGAGACCTGCCCTTCAGTTGATGGTGAGGCCAATGGGATGACCTAAACCTGAAACAGACCTCCTGGAAAAGGAATGGACCATCCCCAAAGCTAATCAAATCCACTCCAAGCAATTTCATCCTGGGGCAGGAGGAGTACCACATTATCTTACAGAGAAGAAAGCAGTTTTGGTGAAAGGCAAAAGGTTGAGAAATTCAAGAGAAGTGAAATCCAGATGTGAAAAAAGGTCCACCCAAACACCCCTTCTGACCTGTCCAGAGGCAGTCTGGACTAGATGACTTGTCTCTTCCAGATCTGTGATTCCATTTCCCTCCCAGTCTCCACCCCTTTTCACTTATGATCCATTACTTAACCTCATACAATTTCCTTCCCTGCCCAGAGTCCTTTTATTCCTTCCTCATCTGTACCTATTCTCTGGATAGATGCTTTAAAGATAAGATATTCTCCAGTAGAGAATATCTTATTCTGACAGTTGATATTCTGACAGTTGAGAAATAGCCAAAAATTAAGAGGAAAGGTTATAGTAAACCTCACTTCTTTTACAATAAAAACTACCATCCTAAAGAAGAGTTAATAAATAATGAAGTAAATTACATGACTTCAGCCTAGTGATCGCAGATGATGAGGTAAGCAAAGACACGATTCAGAATACCTGTAGGTCAATGAATTTAATATCTGATGGTTGACTTTTTTGAAATGAGAAGGCTCAGAAATGACTGTGAAATTCATTTACAGTATATAGAACCTAATTCTCTTTCTGAAGAATGATGTTAATTTGCTTCTAACTTCAGTATAGCATTGTAGCCAAATGAGTCAGTCTATTTTCTTAGTTAGATCCATTGTTTGTCTAATCTCCCAGGGCAGAGAAAGAGAACTAATTTACTACCAAATCTCCACCCTTTGAAAATGGAGAGTTAGTTCTTCAGCTAAATAGTCATTTGCCTTTCAGTCCCAATTGGCTTCTTTCTAAAGCGGTGACTGCTAGTATAGGCACTCATTAACCAATGGAAAATTCTAGTATCAGTCATTTAAATCTCAGCCTGCATTTAAATTAGTGTACACCAAAGACTTTTGCTTCCAGCTATGTGACAGTAACAGGTATCTGACTTCCTCTTCTACAGAAATCAGTCAATCACTCAATCAATCTGGGCAAAACTATTGCATATGAGTTGTATCGTTTCAAGCATTGCATAGTAGATAGCACATAGCTATGATCCTTGAGAGAAGGGGTGAGTTCCATAAAGTGAAAATACAAATGAGTAAAAGTGAAATAAAGACATTAATAAATGAAGGAAAATAAAGAGAATTCAATGTCAACAGACCTGTTCTAAAAGAATTGCTGAAGGAAGATTTTTAAACAGAAGGGAAACAATACAAAAAGGAAAGAAGGGAAATGTGAATGACAAAAAAGATAAGAAAAATCATAACTATTTGGGTAAATATAACAGCATCTTCTAGTCCTCTTTAATTCTTAAAAATGTTAATAATTGAAGGCAAACATTGTGACACTGTCCAAAAGAGATTTTCATTGTACGTAGAGGTAATCTGGGGTCTCCAAAATGTTCATGGGAAGTGTGTATTATGAAAAAGCTAAAGCATGGATTTCAAAATTTTTCTACACCACAGTAAATGAGTATTTTAATTTCATTTTCCCACAAAATTATTGGTGACCCTTCATATATAATAAACTACATTTTAAAGGAAATGGGTAAAGATAATACATGGTGATAACTTTTTTTTTTTTTTTTGAGAGGTTTTTGCCCTAGGGCACGTGAGCTCGCCAGACAGACAGACAGGGACAGAGAAACAGAAAGCGAGAAATCATCCCCCAGGGGGATGGCCATGCCGCAATCCCTTCTCTTCCATTCTCCTCTAGGGATCTGGGGCACGCACGCACACGCGCCCAGCGTGAGTTTTAAGCCACCGGGTCCAGGACTTGAACCGCTGTTGACTACATGGGAGTCCAGCAACATAGCTATTACGCTAACTGCTGGTCCCCATGGTGATAGCTTTTTATATCCCACTTGAACTAGTAAAATGTTGATTCTAAGACACTGTAAATTGTTATGTATGTAACAGAGACAGTGAGAGGGAAAATAAGAAATCACCCCTACACACACACACACAGGAATGGCCACACTGCAATCCCTTCTCCTCCATTCTCCTCCTGGGACTTGGGCATACATGTACACATGCCTGGCATAATTTTTTCTTTTTTAAAAAGGTTTATATATTTTTAATTGTATTTATTATCATTATTCTTCAATTTTGACCAGATAGATAGACAGAGAGAAAGGGAGAGATCATAATATGATCCCGATAGAGACCACTGATAAAACTATACAGAGAAATAAAGCCAAATTCACAATAAATGTTCAACTAATCCAAAAGAAGGTAGGAAAGCAAAAAAAGAGGAATGACAAATGAAGAGAATAAACAGAAAACAAATAATGGCAGACATAAATTCAAACATTTCAATAATTATGTAAGACATATATGGTCAAACCCAATTTAAAAGCAGAGATTGTCTGAATAGATTAAAAACACAGGCCGCTATAACATATCGTCTGTAATAAGTCCACTTCAAATATAATAATGTAAGCAGGCAAAAGAAGGATCATAGAAAAAAGATAAATTATGAAGAACTGATCCAAAGAAAGCCAGGGTCAGTCCTGTAGCACAGAGATTAACTGTTGTACATAGGAAGCCAGATCCCATTTGGTTGGCTATTGTTTAAATTCTGGCCCTGGCAGTTTGAAAAACACACTGATTGTGTGTGTGTGTGTGCGTGTGTGTGTGTGTATGTGTGCACCTGAAATCCTGATAGGATGCAGAAATAGAAGAAAAAGGATTGTGGTAGGACCAAACTCCATTTGGGGAGTGCTTTCTCTCTCTCTCCCTCTCTCTGGAAAGCACATGTACCCACTGGCAATAAAAAATAATAAAGGACAACAGAAGTCAACGTATCAATATCAACGTAGATAGCTAAGCAAAAAAAGTGTATCTGGAATAAATCTACATGACACAAATGAAAGAACAAATGCATAATTATAATTGGA